ACACCCTGAGTCAGACCTGGCACTGCCACATGGGCTAACCCATTCACAGTAGCTCACAACCAAGTGACAGCAGCGCTGGAAAGGCCTCAGGGAGCACCTAGTCCAGCCTCACTCATTTACAGATAGGAGGACACAGGTCCAGGTGGGAGGGCATTCCCCTAGTTCACTTACCCTGGTAGCACCTGCCCTGGCTCCACCCTGCACCCAGCTTAGTGCCAATGCAGCACCAAGAACATCCAGGGTAGCTTTAGGCACCTGCCTCTGCCAGGGTGACGTCACACACCATCTGCAGTCCAGACAGCGCAGGGTCCTGCCAGCTGTGGTTAGCTGAGAGAAGCCAGGCCGATGGCCGCTGGTTGCAGCACAGATGGTCCCTGTTGGAGAGCTGACTGCCCTCCTTAGCCAGTGCCTGTTCCCTCCTGAAGCAGAGTCTCATGTGACCAAGTTATTAGCTTAGTCCATCAACCAGCCCCTCAGAACTATTAGTTCTTATCATTCAATAGCTCAGTGAGTGACACTGTGAGAAAATGATTTCTCCAAAGCATGGACATACCAGAACTGTAGATTTAGAAACCCAGAATGTGCAAGGTAAGGTGTGACATGACCTTGTCAGGCTCACCTTCTTGCAGCTGATTTCCTCAATTGACTGAGGGACCTCGGGACTAGGTGGCTTACCTGTCACCTTTTTTCCTCATGCGATAAGCCCTGAGCCTATTCCTCCCCCCAAGCCTCTGGCCCTGCACACTGATCTCCTCGATACACACACTGCTGAGTTCAGAAGGATCTCCTCACTACGTGAAATTCCCAGGAGGACAGCACCCTAGGTCCTAACAGGGTAAGGAAGGGCAACCTACGCAGACAGGCCAACCTGGTCAAAACAAGGAGGCAGGGAGCTCCTGGGCGTGCTCAGGGATGGCATGGGCCAGTGTGGAACTACTGGAGCAGGAGGAGATGAGATGGAAATAGGGCTTGAGGTCAGGTCACCAGGAGCACCTGACACCTAGCTGAGGATTGCCCTTGCCTGTGGAAGAGAGTGGAAGGCCAACCCTTGCAAAATATGGAATATAGAAATCAAGATATATACAGAGAAGGTAGAGACTACCCTACGGCATCCTTTGGAGTCCTGGAGAAATGACAGCAGTTTTCTAGGCCTATGTGACCTTAGTTTTTGGAACCCATGTCAAGACTCACCCACTCTCTCATTTCACAGATCCTTGCTGGCTCACTGTCCCTCTTGTAGCACCTGCAGCACTTCATTGAGTTTAATAGTATTTCTATCTTCCCTCAAAACTAAAGTCTTTTGATTGGAAAGACCATCTCTGAGTTATCTCTGTGTGTCTAGAGTACAACAAAGTGGCTGGCATGATATGTTTGCTTAAAAGATGGAAGGATGGAGACCAGCAGATGGCAAGTGGTTACATTGCTGGACTCTCACATGGTAGACTGTAGTTTGAGTCCTGAACCCAGGGCTTAAAACTCATGCCAGGCACATGTGCGTGCATGCCCCAAATCCAGAGAGAAGTCTAGAGAAGAAAGGAATGCAGCATGGCTATCCCCCCCTGTTGGGAGGTGGGGAGTGATTTCTTGCTGTCTGGCAAGTACAAAAGTCCTATAGCAAAAATCTCTCTCTCAAAAAAAAAAAATGGAAAGATGGATGGATAGATAGAAGGATAAATGGATGAAAGAAAGGAAGGATGGTTGAGTGGGTGAACAGATTACTGAATGGAGGAGGGAGCATAAATAAATGGATGATAGACTGCATTTCACAGCAGTTGTGGGTTTAATGAACATATCCCAAAACTACTACATGCCAAAAAGCTAAAATGGATCAAAAGTATTTGATCCAATTAACTTGGCTTTTCCAGGTATCCTTGCCTCTGTCTGTCAATCCCACTGGTGCTCAAAACCCTCGACAGGCTCCTCAGTAAAGTCGAGCTGGGGCGTCAGGCCCAGTCTCCCAGAGACATCATGGGA